TGAAGGCAACACCAGGGGACAAAAACTGAACTTGGAAGCAAATTTTAGTATTCTAAATTTTTGATTACCTCTAGATCTAGAAAACTCTCTGAAAAACGAGTGTTGGTGCAGGCCTTGTGTGGACTCGGGATCCGTCGTACTCTTTCCTTGTAAACTCTGCAAAGACAAAAGGCCAAGGCTAGGCCTAATAAGTCATCCAAGGCCCACCTTTTCTTCATCTTTTCTTCTTTGCTTCTGGGTTTTTGGGGGGTTTTTTTTGTTTTTTGTTTTTGGTTTTTTTTTGTGTGTTCGTGCAGGTATGAATAGGACAGGAACTGCACTAACTACTAATAGGGTAAATGCCTCTGGTAGTTTTCACACTTGTCTTTTTTTTTTTTCTTTGTCATTTTCTACATCTGATGAAGTCGCAAACACAATCATGCATATTTGATGTGGGTCAAAATAAAATATTAATAAGGGTCCCAAATTAAGTATGCGACAAGAGGTAATGTAGCCTACTACAGATTTTTTAGGTCAACTACAGATTTTTGGACAAAAATTTGCGTCCAACTACAGATTTTGGCACAGGCAATGTTGGCAGGTATGCATTTGGGCCCCAGCCTTTTAACAAAAGTCTACTATAAACAATACATTATATATATATACTAAATAGAGATTATTTGTTGTAATAGAGGGAAAGAAACAAATATAATTTAGTCTCGCTGTATTCATATTTCAGTCAGTGCGTGCAGGCCGTATATTTTCCGGCTTTTTTTTTTTTCAAAACCTGTATACATCCCTGCATGCTATTTTGTTTGTTTTTTAATGGTTCTTTACTGACCTTTACTCTCTTTCCCTTCCTGTCCTGCCTGCAGGTCACTTTATTGTGTTTTGATTTGAGTTGGTGGTGGATATAAACATGACCCAAGTGTGGTCCATTCTCTCCGCTCCTTTTAGCATTGCTTTCTAATCGGTCTGTAAGAGTTTAGGGAAATTTTGGCTGAACTGAGTTACCCGGAAAAAGTAATGTTCCGGGAAAATTTTGGGGAAACTTCTGCCGTTGTCTTCCATTTGACTATGGTATAGGCCGTGATTTGCTTTTTCTGAATAAATAACCTTTCAATCTCGTAACTATCTAGTTTATTTCTAATAGGATTGGAGTGAGTCAGTTTTGAGGAGTTTTTTAAATTTTTTATCAAAGTTGTGTGATGTATATTTTTTTACACTTGTAAGTTTTTCCAAGTTTGTGAAGACAGAAAATTGTTTTAAGGGGCAAATTTTTTATGCCAGTCAAAATATTGAGTTGTGCCTAAACTCAATTCACTTCCAGCATGGAAGTGTAGTTTGTGTTCTTATAGAGGTGTAAACATTGAACTTATTAATTCTTATGTTGTCTTTCGTATATATATCCTTTATATATTTTTTTTTTTTTCCAGTTATGCTGGATGATGTACAAGCCCAGCAAGAATACGATGAATTCTTTGAAGAGATTTTTGTCGAACTTGAGGAGAAAGTGAGTCGATGTTCTTCGTGTCTGTTGGTGGGGTGGTTATTCCTTGTTCCTATTCCTTCCAAGATCCAGCAGAAAGGGGAGTGTTGTTGTGATAGGGATATGATATATTACAATATCGCCCTGGAATCTGTTTGAATAAAGTTGGTTCTCTTAGTGCGGGTGTGCATCCTTTAATTGTGTATAGATTTTTAGAGTCTGTTTTTCCCCAGAAAACGTGCAATTATTGTAAATGTTTATGAAAATCCTCTGCTAGTTTTTCTGTGAACCCTACCTTTTTGGGGGATGAGGGGTGGGGGGGAGTCTCGTAGCAAAATTGCAGATCTTTTTTTTCCATTGAAAAATGAGTTTCTGCTGGCTCTTTTGTTTTTAAAGGGGTGTGAGGTGTGCTATAGAATAAGTCTCGGCTAACACCACTCCTAAGGAGCTTATATTTGGTGTGGGCGATTATATGGCAATGGAGATATGTTACCAATTGTCAAAAAACAATTTACAGATTCGGTTGTCGTGGAAACTGGCCATATTGGATTTTACAGACACAGTGTTGTATAATTTTCCCACTTTATTTACAAACAGATTAGGTTCGTCCATAGCACATACACTGATAAGACAAAGATCACACTTTCTGTAAGAGAAATTTTTAATATCTGCTTTAGTTTTTTATTTTATGGCACTTTCAATTCGGGCTCTAGTGGAATAGTTGAAAAAAATGGAAAACCTAGCTTTTCAAGCTCACAGATTAAGGTCCAATTCATTTATCAATAATTCCTCTTACAAAAAGCTAGATTGTATGGTTTTGACATTCTGTGAAAGTTTCATTGAAATCGAGTCAAAAATAGAGCAGAAAAATAGTACCAACCATGGAAAAATAGCGTGCTTTTTATTTATTTTTATTTTTTTTACAACATTGCCAAATATTTTCTCAAACAGACTCGACCCTGTGCTCTAAAAATCCCCCCAAACACCACTTTAGAGTGCAGCTAGGCTTGTGTACCTATTTAGAGATCTTGTTCTGGACATGTCCCGGAATTTTAAAGTGTAATTATCTAATTTTATGTAATTTGGCCCCAAACCAGCATTACTAGCTGTCGCACCACTCCTTAACAGGTAAAATTGACCGGTCTAACTTTGCTAAATGGTTTGTTCTTTCTTCTTTCCAGTACGGAGAAATCGAAGAAATGAACGTCTGCAACAATTTGGGAGACCACTTGGTTGGAAATGTTTACGTACGGGTAAGTGTTTTGGTCATGTGATTGAGTGTGTGTGTGTGGTCTGGCCCTTCTTCTTTCTTTTCAGTGTTTCTTTTGTCTGTGGGTTTCGTAGCGCAATGTGGCTTAAGTCATTCTTGGTTGGAGGTGAAGTTTCCTGATTTCTCCCTGCCCAGTGCCCTTATTCTCCTCCTTCTGCTTGGTCTCTCAGATAATTTCTCCCTGCCCAGTGCCCTTATTCTCCTTCTTCTGCTTGGTCGCTCAGATAGAAGGGTATCCTCGGATAGGATGCTATCCACTCCTCCACTGATAATGCTCCTGTGTGATTATTTTAGTTTAGTCGGGGGAGGGGGGGTATCAAAGTGAGGGACTCCTCGGCTGCCCCTACATACTGTTTTCAGAGCTGCTCTTGATTTTCAAATTT